AGGGACGATGCCAGCGACGCATCTTCGGCTCGCTTCAATACTTATAGTCGCCGCTAGTGGCCTACGAGTCTGGGTGTAATTTTTATTATTTACGGGGTTCATTGTACTGTCATGATTGAAGATGAAAAGATTAAAAGTTTTCACCCAGAAAAAATGATCATATGTCGAAGTGTAAACTCTGAACACCAGGTAATAAGGGATATCCTTATTTTTGTGATCATATGTTCAAGAAGGCCGGGAGTGGCAGGCTTCAAGCAAGTTTGATTTTCTTCCAGTGATCGTGAGATTAGCCATGTTCGTGGATGGGTGCTCTTCCATCCCGTCCCCTCCCCTCTCTTTTCATGAATGCATGATACAGATGCTTATGCATAACTCAACGAAAAAATGCTATGGATTCTTTGAGTACGCAACAAATGAGCCACAAGGATTTTCATTTTTCTAAGAATAAAATAGGATTGCGAGCAAACGCGCAGGTCTGCAACCCGTGTAGCGCCTTGTGCGTATTTGCAAATTTTAAGAAATGTCGCAAATTTTAAAACTATTCAGAAGCATGAAACAAATATTCAAGAATTCTGAAAATGGTTCGAGAATTTGAAAAGTGTTCATGAGTTTCCAAAAGTTCATGTTTTTTAAATGGTAAAAAAATGTTCATGGTTTTAAAAAATGTTCTGAATTTGAAAACTGTGAACGCAATATAAATGTTCACATATTAGAAAAATAGTTCAAAAAGTAAAGTATATTTCCAAATTTCAAAAAAATATAAATTGGAACATTTTCACAAATTTTTCAAAAAATAGAAAAATTATAATAACAAAAGGAGAAAAAACAAGACCGATAGAGAAAAAAGAGAAGAAAAAAACTGAATGGAACCTTCCCAAAATCAGAAGGATCGTTTCATAACAACTCTTGGGAATATATTTTTTTTTTTGCGGGTAACTTGGGAATAAAATTAACCGGGGCAGCAAAGCTCGCACTAGTCTTTACTAGTAAAACTGTACTAAACAGGAGTGGGTCAGATGTCGATTGAGGCAATCAGGACCAATATAATGTTTGTACTGGCACGGACGTTTCATATAGGGAAGTGTTTACACCCGGCGCACCGGCCGAGTCTTCCGCCGGTCGCGCGCGGGCCACGCGATCCAGCTGGATCGAACGACCAGGGAGACGCGATTTGGAATTTTTTTAGGCCCACCACCCCTCCTATCTTATCTCCTCCGAAAACAAACGTGGTCCACTCATTTGCTACAACGCATCGCCTCCTACCTCCAGAAGCGCTCCTGCAAGTGGCTCCACCACGTGATTTTTTTTCAATCTCCTCACCACGATGCACAAACTCTCCCGCAACGGAGGTGCTTGGACCATGCCGGAGGCTCCGCGACGGAGATGCTGGGACCGTGCCAGGGGCGCCGTGCCAAGCCGTGCCGACGAGTCTCCATGGATGACCATTGGTGAAGGTAGCGATGCCAGCGAGCGGATAACGATGCTGGAACTAGCATTTTGTTTTGCTTCAACCGGCCAAATCCAGAGCTGGAACCACTATTATTTTTTGCTGCAACTAATAAGCGAGTTGGGAACACAGCTGATTTTTTGCTACAACTAGCTCATTTTTTTGCTACAACCGGTGGCGCTATTTGCTCCAAGTGCTGCTAAAAAGAAAATAGCTATAACTTTTGGTAGAAAAGCTTCAACGGTTGTTGGAAAAAGCTCCAACCATTGAGAGAGAAAGCTAACTAGACACTATGAAAATAAGAAAGCTTCAACCAGCGACGGCTGGAGGTGGAAGAAGATGATAAAATGCTGCAGTTTTGCTACATGCTTCAACCGGCATAGATTTTTGCTACAACTGGCATAGCATTTTGCTACAACTAGCGTCACATTTTGCTACAACACACAGCCGGCGTCGCGGTTTTGCTACAACTAGCATCGTTGTTTGCTACAACCGGCATAATGTTTTGCTACATCCATCACGGCCGAGCTGCGACCCAGCACGGCTTTCCGTGAATTCTGGCGTCGAGATCCAGCACGGAAGGCAGGGGCGGATGCTGCAATCGGTCGCCGGCGAGCTGCTACGGGCTCGCGGCGAGCTGCAACCTCGACCGGCCGTAACGGAACTCGAGCCCAAATCCATGGCGGCAAGGAGGTCATGACGTATGTAAGACATGATTGAAGCAATCCTAAGGCGGCTTGATAGGTGGGGGAGCCCCTCGTCGACGTGATTCGACCGTGGGGAACGAATAACAGGCGGATCTAGCCGCCGCCGTCGCGGATCGGGGACGGGCAGTCGCGGGGGGATCCAGCTCCCCTGTTTTCCTTGCTGTGGCTGTTCGTACACGGTCGCAACAAAACTGCTCTTTTTTGCTGCGACGGTTGCTTCAGTCCGTATATGCGCGCAGATCTAACGGTCCATGCAAAACGCATCGGACGGCTGGGCCTAGACCGGCCGAACCGTTTGGGCCGGCGCACCGGCGCCTAGCGTCTCCCTTTCATATAGCACCGTCAAGACAGCGCTCAAGCTGCACTTTCTTTCTTTCAGTACCACCGGAAGCCAGCCTCTTTTCACCGTCTCTTTCTGCGAGTTCTTTTCCTCTGCCTCTGTGGTGAAAATGTACAAAGCCGGCGGGCGAACAGCTGGAAATCACTCCACACTCCACAGCCCAGCCCTTCCCCAAGTCTTCTTCCTGGAACGCTGAGCTGAGCCGTGTGCCCGTGTGTAGCACTGTAGCCGGCTTTGTTTCTCCACGGTAGATTTGTCTTTTTTGTTTCTTCGCGTGCATGTCGAATTTTGATCTGAACTTTTTAGGGGTTGTCGACATATGTGTTGTGAATATCCATGATTTTTTTCATTTTTGAGCATATTTAAATTTAAATTTTAAAAGTCAATATCATGATAGCATGTTAAGGGTTGGATCACCTGATATTTTCCTCCCTGTAGCCACCACCGCCTCACCCCGTTCACACAAGCATACATACGTACAATACACCACCCAGGACGAGGACCAGGAGCAGGAGGCACAGGCGCACGGCAACAAAAGACCAACAAGGTGGAGGCGCCCACGCCAAAGCGGCAGCAGGCGAGGGCTTTGCCGCTCCCTCCTGCTCCTGCTGCAGTGGTCACTTCTTTATTGCCTGCTCCCCTCCCCTCCCCTCCCCTCCCCTTCCCACGCTTGACTCGGGCACGGCTTAAAAGCGCACGCCTCGCTCGCCCTCGCCATTATTCCGCCGCGTGCAACGCCAGCAGCTGCTCCACCTCGCCCAACTGCAGGTTCAGTCGTCCTGTGCTCCCGGCCATGGACCAAGGGCGCAGCTAGCCTTCCTCGGGGATTCTTGTCCCCCTTCGGCGCTTCGGGGCGGTGAGGCGCGCTCTGAGGCAATGGGGGTGCTGCGGAGGCGGTGGGCTGTTCCCCTCCTGTGGGCGGCGCTTCTTGCGGTCGCGCTGCTGGGCGGCGCCCGCGGCTCCGGGGACGGCGCCGCGGTGTACATTGTGACCATGAAGCAGGCGCCGGTGTCCCACAAGCGCCTCGACCTGGAGAGTTTTGGGAGCAGCGGGGTTGCCGGCGGCGGCGGCGGCGGAAAAGGGGATAACCCGGCCACCAGCATTCTCAGGAAGCCGAGGTGGGCGTCACTCTTAGCGAAAAATTCCTCAATTATTATGCGTCTATATTGTGTCAATTTCCCCTCCTTTTTTTGCAATTTGCGCCCCTTTGATTCCGCAGTTTACTCTTAGAAAAATTGATTCACCACTTTGAGGTTTTACCACTTCTGTGGTGGTAAGGAGAAAATTACACTTAAATGTTTGCGGGCTATTTTGAGCAAATTTAGATGATTGGGATGTCACTGCAGCCATACTACTTAATCAGCCATGTAATTACTAGTTGAAATTCATTATTTTTTACCCTCATTTGCATCAATATATGAACTGATGATTGTCAACGGTATATTTGATCAGGTCCTCTTAGTTTCTGTAAGGTGGTAATTGCAGGTTCTTTATCAGTAATTAACGGAAGTCACCTTTACACTTTACTCCCAAGATGTATATAGACAACTGGAAACCCCTTTTTCTTAAGATACTGTGCACCTCTTTTTTGACAATTGGCTAGTGCAGTTATCTACATACTCCTACTGTATACTCATTTACTTACCAGTACATTTATTATCAACAACTTAAAAGTACCCATAGAATATCTAAAATTTTAATTTTAGAATGACTTCCTTTTGGGGATTGACATAACTTAATTGTTGTATGCTACAATGAAGTGTCGTTCTTTCATCGGTTTTGGCTAAAGATAGTGTATATTTTTCTCATGATTAATTATTGATTTAACTTTTTATCTGAGAAGGTCCAGCAGTTATTTTCCATGGAATGACATGAATGTGATTGATTTCCTTCTCATACTAATATTAACCATGGTAATGCAGGCATGCTTCACCCAAATTTGTGAATTATGGCTCACTCCTAGTGCGCCTTCAAAATTCGCTCCTGAAGAAGACACTAAGAGGAGAGCACTATATAAAATTGTACAGTTACCACTACTTGATCAATGGTTTTGCTGTTGTCCTCACTCCTCAGCAGGTATCTAATTGTTTGTGTTTGTTCCTTGTGCTATTTCTGCACTATTACGAGATTAGTTTGTAGTGTCACACTATTACTTCTACCTATCACTTGTCAAAGAAAGACGCATGAAATATTTTGCTAACTTTATATCATGGTGCCAATATGTTAAAATAGGGAAATTCATGGAACTATGAACTACTCCCTCCGTTCCAAAATAGATGACCCAACTTTGTACTAGAGTTAGTACAAAGTTGGGTCATCTATTTTGAAACGGAGGGAGTATTTGTTTTTTGCACCTTGTTACCTCCTTTCCTTTTTTCCTTATCTGTTTTCCGGAACCTGTAGGAGATTGTTCTGATCGACTTATTTCTTATACATGTTTTAACTTGTTTTCTGCTTGCATTAAAAGGCAGAGAAGCTAAATAGGAGAAAAGAAGTGGCAAATATAATGTTGGATTTCTCTGTTAGGACGGCAACAACTTATACCCCCGAATTCCTTGGCCTGCCAGAAGGTGCATGGGTGCAAGATGGTGGTCCCCAATGTGCTGGCCAGGGTGTTGTTGTGGGCCTCATTGATACAGGAATCGACCCAAATCACCCTAGCTTTGCAGATGACTTGACAGCTGACAATTATCCAGTTCCTGCTCACTACTCCGGTAATTGTGAGGTTACAAGTGATTTTCCATCTGGGTCCTGCAACAGAAAGCTTGTTGGAGCTCGACATTTTGCAGCATCTGCAATAACCCGAGGAGTCTTCAATGCCTCTCAAGATCTTGCTTCACCATCTGATAATGATGGCCATGGGACGTAAGTATTATTTTCTGATTTACCTATCACGGTCATTATAAACAAAGACAATGAATGCTCTCTACTACTGCATCTGGCTGTGCAGTCAGATATGTACCTTTTTTTTGTTTCACGGTTGTTTTCTCCAGTAAACTGCAGTTATTCTTTTTTGTTTGACTGTCCAATTCTTTTAATTGTACTCAGAAATTTCATTCATATACTAAATACTGCATGAACATAGCCTAGTCTCTTTCTCTTCTTTTTGGTGATGAACGTGGGCTGGTCCTACTATGTAAGTGCTCAGGTACAAGTCATGTTAGCTATAGATATATCCCATTAAGTTTTAAGAAATGATTTATGCACAAATACTAGGAGAACCTGTCATTTCTGCTGCTTTGTTTCCATTGTTTGTTTCAACTTGAACTCATGCTAGTAATAGATAGATGCTGTTAAGTTGAAATGATTTATGCAGAAGTACCAGGAGAAGCAGTTATTTACTGCTGTTTTCTTTCCGTGGTTTCTATCTTTCAACTTGAACTCAAGCATTGGCTTTCCATATGGACTAGTTGAACTGTCCTTGAGTGTAGAAGTTATCTGACTTCTAACTGAAGTTGCTTAAAAAGGAATAATAAACTACCACAACGAATGTACTTTGAGAAGACACTTTCTGAGATTATTATTTCTGATTCTAAGATTTGTGCATACAGCCACACAGCATCCATCGCTGCTGGTAATCATGGCATACCTGTTATTGTGGCTGGGCATCACTTTGGGGATGCAAGTGGAATGGCTCCTCGTGCACAGTAAGTCTACTATGTGGTTTAGGTGGATAATATGATTCATTTTATTTCCTAATATTAATTAAAATTATTTTTCAGCATCGCTGTCTATAAAGCGCTGTACAAAGGTTTTGGAGGTTTTGCTGCTGATGTAGTGGCTGCAATAGATCAGGTAACGATCTTTCTGCATGCTGGTTATCTTCTGTTGGTGTAAGCACAAAACTAATGACCCACTTTAGAATGTGGTCCCCATATGAAGAAAAGGCATGTTGATAATTATCTAATGGGATTGACACGCCAAGAGATCAATTATTGTAGCATATACTAGCTAGTCAAGACAGGGACACTATAAGAGAATATTCTAAGCTGTTCAAATTTACTGAATAGCTATGCATATGGAAGTTCGAATTCTGTGATGACCAGTTGTACCCATGTGTTGACTGAAATTCTGGTAGGCGACTAGGCGTTCAATATATATTTACGTTGCAAGTTTCCATGGCATTATTAAAACTTTGGCTGTGATACTCTTGGCAAAGATACGGGAACTCAGGAGAAGCATTTTAAACTTCTAAATTAAGCATGCTATATTACAGCACCGTTGACAACAACTCCTTGCATCACATTTACAGGCAGCTGAAGATAATGTCGACATAATCAGTTTATCTATTACCCCTAATAGGAGGCCTCCTGGATTGGCTACATTCTTTAATCCAATTGATATGGCACTAATGTCAGCTGTGAAAGATGGCATATTTGTTGTGCAAGCTGCAGGAAATACCGGTCCTTCCCCTAAGAGCATGTCTTCATACAGTCCATGGATTTTTACTGTAGGCGCTTCTGCCCATGACAGGGAGTACAACAACTATGTTGTACTTGGCAACAATTTGACCATTTCAGGAGTTGGTCTTGCTCGTAAGTTCCTATTAAGTTATTTCATTATGTGCTGTGTGCACAACTGCAAATAGTGACCTTTTTAACGGTTTTTAAACTGCAAACACAGCTGGAACAGATGGTGATTCCATGTACAATCTGATTGCTGCACCTCATGCACTGCAAAATTATACCACCACTCCTATTGAAATGTCCCTAGGAGAGTGCCAAGATCCAAGTCATCTAGATAAAGATCTGATAAAGGGGAAGATACTGGTCTGCAGCTATTCCATAAGATTTGTGCTTGGCCTCTCTTCTGTGAAGCAAGCTTTGGATACAGCAAAGAATGTCAGTGCTGCAGGAGTTATATTTTACTTGGATCCTTTTGTCCTTGGTTTCCAGCTGAACCCAACTCCAATGGACATACCTGGACTTATAATACCATCACCTGATGACTCTAAGGTATGGCAGCCAATGCTTCAGCCTTATTATTCTCGCTCTTACTTTTTCTTTATATCCTTTTATTTCTTAGACCTTGATCAGTCTTGTTTAACAGCTTATGTTCTGGTATTCAATAGTTTTGGATTTGCTGTATGAATCTGCCGTTTGGCATTGCAGTTGATTATAATACTCACGTTTGTTAGTCAGCTTTTGCCTATTCTGTCACTTGTTTAACTAAACCTTTTGCTGCTTCCATGGTTATTTTTTAAAAGCGGATTTTAAATAAGTTTAGCGCAGCACATTTCAGCAACCACAAACTGAACCTTAATGTATGAAGTGTGATACTTATTTCATAATTATTGGGCATGATAAATGCATCAGTTAGTTAAAAGGTTTAAGTGCCTATTCAGCTCTTGCAAAATTTTAATAGACTTATCCTGTTTCTCGAGCTTCTGTTCATTTTAATCCAAGCTTCTATCAGCTACTGATGTTGCTAAGCTTAATTTTCTCTGGCTGTTATGTGCGTGTTGATTAATCAGTCTCTCTTCTCCATAGTTTTTTTCCTGTTCTCATGGTTTTAGTCTATCTTTTTTTGGCTTCAAGTTTAGTTGTTGACTGCAGTATAGTAAAAGTTGATAGTAGATCATCTGAATTATTCATGTGGGAAAATTATTCTATTTCTTAAGAAGAACTAAGGTGCTAACATATGTGACTCAATATTGCCAGATATTCCTAAGTTATTACAACGATTCGCTTGTACGAGATGGGACGTCAGACAAAGTTGTCAACTTCGGTGCAGTTGCGAAAATACTAGGAGGTCTGAAGCCAAATTATGGTAGTTCGGCACCAAAAGTGATGTTTTATTCTGCTAGGGGGCCTGACCCTGAGGATAATACATTGGCCAATGCTGATATCTTGAAACCAAATGTGGTAGCACCTGGCAGTTCCATTTGGGGTGCTTGGAATTCGCGTGGATTGGATTCTGCTGAATTTACCGGTAGTTTGACAATTTACCTTCTCTTCCATTTACTACTTAAGTTTACTTACTCAAGAGCATTAAACATATAAATTGCATTCCAATAGAATAGAAGTGTGTGTTTCCAAAAAAATATGTTTTCCTTCATTGTATTACGTCCTTCAAATATGTACTACCTCCGTCCGCAAAAGCTTGTCCCTCAAATGGATGTATCTAGCACCAAGTTAGTGCTAGATACATTCATTTGAGAAACAAGCTTGGGACAAGTTTTTTCGGACGGAGGGAGTATTTGGTAAAGAAAAACCTAATGGTTGCCATGCTATGTATTGTGAGTTATATGAGGATTGAGAATGGCACTTCCGTAAATTAATAATGCAATTATTGGATTCTTTGCTCCTTCTATTGCTGGGAGCATTACATGCCTTGAAATGCATAACTGCCATACACAAAAAGTACAGCCTTACATTTGTATTATTGTTTGGTTATTTAAGCCGTTAATAAGAGGCTTAGCATTATAATCCGACCTAACATCAGATTTCAATTGCTATGAATAAATCATGATGGTTGTCTGATTTTCCTCTTCAGGTGAAAGTTTTGCGATGCTCTCTGGTACAAGTATGGCTGCACCACACATTGCTGGCCTTGCGGCGCTAATCAAGCAGAAGTTTCCTTCTTTTAGTCCAGCAGCTATAGGTTCCGCGCTGTCTACTACCACAATTCTCAGTGACAAGCAGGGGAATCCAATCATGTCACAGCGAACATACAGCAACCCAGACTCCACACAAACTCCAGCTACACCTTTTGACATGGGGAATGGGTTTGCCAATGCCACTGCTGCTTTGGACCCTGGGCTCATATTTGATTGCAGTAAGTTCAATGGTCATTCATCTCTTGTTTATTTGCTCAAACAAAATCATCTCTTTATGTTACTGCTTGGGCTTGCCACAACAAGTGCAAACTGTCGTGTATTCCTTGAGACTAGCAGCTGGGTTTTGATTGACATCAGGTGTTAGGCCAATGTATGTCGAAGCAACAGTTTATCAGATTGTTAGCATGGCTATGCCAAGGGGTGCAGATATAGTGCAAATAACCCTCTAGGTTCTCATTGTACTTTCTCGCTCGACAAAAGTAACTGTGCGACTAACTCCTTTCAAATTGTTTTGATTTTCTTGTAAACAACAGGTTACGATGACTACCTCTCCTTTCTGTGTGGTATAAATGGTTCTGCTCCAGTAGTGGCGAACTACACCGGCAACAGCTGCGGGGCCTCCACCATGACCGGAGCAGACCTGAACCTGCCGTCGATCACCATAGCCGTGCTCAACCAGTCGAGAACAATAACAAGAACGGTCACCAACGTGGCGAGCGACGAGAACTACACGGTCAGTTGCAACGCCCCCTACGGGGCGGCGGCGTCCGTGGCACCGGCTCAGTTCTTCATCCCCAGCGGGCAGAAGCAGCTCGTGACCTTCGTCGTGAACGCCACCATGACCAACTCTTCGGTGAGCTTCGGGGACGTCGAGTTCTACGGGGACAAAGGTCACCGGGTGGTCATTCCGTTCACGGTCATGTCTAAGGCTGTGTAGAGTTCCTGATAACTGAAAAGCTGACGCTGTAACGGTGTCCTGACTGATCAAGCCATCAAGGTTGTATACGCAGCAGTGACCTGACTGCTTTGGAGGTAGAATGACCAGGATCTACTTAGCTGTTTTTGTTTGCTGTACATTTTGAAGCATGTCGTCCATGTAAGTAGATGAGTGGGCTAGGTGAACAATAACTGTAAAGGGAATGTGTACGAGGACGCCCGTCTTTTGATGAATGAGAAAAATCCTTTTCGCAGAGGTCTTTTATCGGTCGCTGCCTGCGCTGTATGCTGTCATCGTGGTATCAGAAGTTTTTTCCTGTCTGATGACTTACTACTGTGTTCCTGAGCGTTGTGGGTTGAATCGTCGGATATCTATGTGTCTACTTCAACGTAGTATTTGATAGATTGTCACCAAAGGGGTGGTGGCGCAGTTGGCTAGCGCGTAGGTCTCATAGCTGAAAGCGAGTGATCCTGAGGTCGAGACTTCGAGCCTCTCTCACCCCACAAAAATCCAGAGTGATGATGAAACGCTCCTGTGACAACTTGGGTCGTCACAGTGGTCATCTCTTAGATGATGAGAGCAATACTGAGCTTTGGTATTTTTTTTTCACTTGTAATTATGTATATCTACTAGTACGACAATGCTTTTGGTACTATTTTTTGACACACAGGAACATTTGATCTCATTGTTTCCTGCTTAGCAAAAATCACATTACAATTTTATAAAATTAACAAGAAAATAATACGTTCTCGGTTTTGTTCACTTGTAACTTTTGCTTATCTTGTACGACAATGCTTTCGTATTTTTTTCACATAGGAACATCTCATCTCATTATTTCTAACTTTGCAAAAAAAAAACACATTTTAGTTTTACAAAATTACCAAGAAAATACTATGGCTATCAACTTTACGTAAACCCGCAGAAAATGTATTTCTCCAACATAACTTATTTACCTCATGTGGTTATTCATTTTATGCACATGCCACAAATGGTCGTCATTTATTTATTAACATTAACAAAAGGTAAGTTTCCACTCAATGCCTACATTTGTTGGTCTTTTCCATAATTTACAAGATTTAATAACCATTTTTTACTAAGTTTCATAACCCTTGCTCAATGTGTAAAAACTTACAATTTTTTTTACCAACTTTAAAACTTAGGTTACAAAAACGCGGCTATTAATCATGGAACAACAAGTAATCCAAAAATGAAAATGGGTTGTTTGTGCAACTCATATTGTCTTTGATCTGTATCTGCTTTGAGTGTTGTGTTTTCCTCTTCTTCAAAGTAAACATGATCTTCATCTTCATATTAAAACATCAAATTGTAAATTTTGGTGATTCAATATGACCATATGTATCATCGAAATTTTGCTAGTCTAGACATAGACACATTTGAGAGAGCAAATGTGTTCCCACTTCAGAGAGAGAGAGAGGGAGGGAGGG